ATACCAAACTCTTAATTTAGATCTCACAATTATTTGTTCAACGTTCTGTGTGATCACTTCCTGACACGTTGTCCCGCATGCAGAGAAAGATGCCAGTATACTGTACACATATGAGGACACTACTCATTCATTATGGAAAACAATGAAGGACAGTGTTCTCCGTTCTACTCCCCGAAAACAGAGGGCTGTTTAGAGGGTGGAGACGGGGTATGGGTGAGGTCTCTGTATGCTAGATGCTTTTCCCTGATAATGCTCTGTTTAACGTTCCTGATCTAAATGGCTGTGTTCCCCCCTTTTTTGAATCCAGCGAGTCACAAGGCCAGCCAGCAGTGACAATGGCACGTTTGTGCACAGGCTGAGCTATGGGCGGGCTGTCTGATGTGAAGGCATAAGATGGCACAAGGTGGACGCTAGAGTCTCGTGTGCATGTGTATGCACTGGTGTACACACAAATGTGAGTACCCGTGTGAGCCTTTGGATATGTGTCTGTTATGGGCTATATATGCTGCTGGTTCATGCATACATTTTTCTACTTTTACAGAGAGAACTGCTCTCACTATAGTGTATATAATGATGATCAAAAGAATTCAGGTGAGTACTATAAGAATTCTAATCTACATTCAAACACTCCAACATAATGTTCATTTGGGTCATGACAGATAAGATAAAGGATCTCTGCAACGGAAGGAAATTGTCAGTAACTGATACTTTCAGGCTTTTACAACCCACAGACATTATCTGCCATTGCTGAATTGATAACTGGCGCAAAAAAATGAAATATATCTCATACTGCAGCCCATGCAACAATATAACAGCCATTAACCCACCTAATCAGCACTATAAAATAAATGCTGTGGAAACAATTATCAGTGAAATAGATGCTAACAAGAATAATAATTAGAATATCCTACATGTTGCGGTGGGGTTGCTGGCCCTTTGCAAGATGTACACTAGGTGATGAAATCAACTTCCAAAAAAAGAATGGGGAGGGGGGGGGGGGGGGGGGGGGTATGGGAAAATGTCACCTGCTCAAACAGAGAAACGCAATTATACTGCATGTTAGAAATTGGAAATCAGACCACAGCGCAAATGGTAATATATTCTATTATTTGCAAACCTGCACGCCCTCATGAAAACAAGTTAATTGTTGTGCTCTAAACTTATTTCTAGCTGTATTCCTGAAAGCCTGTGCTAACATCGCAGAATGCAATACTTGCACTGCATGTAGGGATTCACACGCACTCCTTTCATTTCTTTCAGCACAGACCAACATCCCTCACCAGTGGGTAGTAGGCTACACACTCCCTCATCATCCCCCCTCCCTCTAGTCCACCTCCTTGTTGTCATATGACCGCTGTTATGTGTGTGCAATGGAACACAAAGTTACTCTGTTAGTCCCCTCTGCTCTGCCCTCTCAGATTTGAGTGCTGGAAGTGAGGCCCTCTCACTCGCTGGCCTCAGGAAAACAGACAGGCCCCTGTATGTGACTTCCAGCAAAGATTAGAAAGGAGGGCAAAGAGAAAGAGATGGATGAATTGAGCTGATGTTATTTTATGTAACACCGAATGATAACTTAATCCTTACTCATTCACTGAGCCCCGCCTTAAGATTTTGCTTGATTCAACTGACAACTTTCATCTTTGATGCTTTACTGTTAAGTAATTTATTGGTGTATTCTCTACATCAGTGTCTGTCTAAAAGAAAACAGTGTCTTGCAGCCGTTTGTGTGGAGATGACACTTTGACAATTAAAAGAATTAAGAATTAAAGCAACCCCAAACAAACACAAACGCTGAGCCAGCTGAATCAGAGTAATGCCTTGCAAAGTGAGTGTCAAAGCAACTGAGAAACCTGAACTTATAGACACATATTTCATCTATGGTTTTATAGAACATTTCACACTGCATGTTGTTAAAGCTCAATTTTCATGTTAATTCACACAACTACTTTAGCAAATGTCTAAGACTTATGTGGTAATTCTGGCACTCCCTCTCCGGGAAATAAATGACATCTTAGATTAATCATAATATTAAGTAGGCTGCCAAGGGAACTATATTTGCCCCCCTTGGTACTCAAGTGTAATAGAGCTGAGTTTAATTGTCCAAGTCAGCGGTGTGCTCACCTACAAGGTTAAACATGGCTAAAAGTGCCCCGGACGGGGACATTTGCCTCATCCCCTCCACCTCAACAGCCGCTGTCACTTTAAAACCAAGTCTGTCCCTCCTGTCCCTTGCCATTATGTCACCCAGTGGAGTGGATGTAGCAAGCAACAAAAGAGGTGGAAGGAGGTCAACTCAGCATAGGTTCTGTCACACTATTGCTCTCATTTTTATATGCATAAAGGTCACTTGAGTGGCAGGGTACTCCATACTGCCACTTAAACAAACAGAGAACAAAAACATTTGGTGTTGATCTGTTGGAAGAAGCGATACGCTTAGTTTATGTGATGTGTATTCCACTGATTTGTTTGTATCCATGTTGCAGTTTGTGTATTTGGCGTAATACAAAACACAAGGTCCTTGACACAAAATCAAAGCAATTCCATTTCTTCCAATATTATGTATATTGTCTGTATAAGGGTGTGATGACATTTTTTACTGTATGTGTGTGTGTGTGTGTGTGTGTGTGTGTGTGTGTGAAGAACTTGGTGAAGGCCCATTATTTAAGCATGTGATTAACCTTTATATTTCACACTGGACCTCGTCACCCATCATTTTAAAGCCAAGGTCAGCAGTGACTTCTGACATTTGTTGACATGTTGTAGAGGAAAACCAAACATTTTACAGCTTTAATGAAAAGTTGAATCTGATATTAGTGCAACTTTCAGGGTTGATTCAAGCCCTTGCCACAGTGAATGTGACCTTGGTTTGTCTCGTAATGGTCACGAACCAGTTACTGAGATTGTTATGACAAGAGAATAAGATCACACCTGGACAGAATCATCAAAGACACTCTGACACACTGAATTGTGAGTGCAAAACATAAACAGCGAGACACTGTCTTGTCTGCAAAATGTTGTTTACATGCAAAACATTTATTGTTGTGCACCCAGTTCTGATTCTGGCTTTGATATTATAGTCAACAGTTTTTTTAATCTCCCAGTAATTGACGTGGCAGTAACATGACATAACATGGCTTCTCTTGAGATGGCATCATGAAGAAATAAATATCTGCAGAGTTTAGTTACCGCCTTAGATCACAACACGTTTTAACAATTTGAGGATTGCACTAACAATACATCAGTTTACAGTGCCTTTAGTCATCTCCTACTTGAAAAACACATGGAGCTGAAAGAAAACATGATATAGATGAATCTTAGCTAACGGTGAGTCACACAAAAAGTATGCTGTGAAAAGTACTTATTTGAATTGCAAAATGTAAAACATTTTCTCAAGTAAGAACAGCAAATTCAACTGGCAGCTACCAATAAAGGCTTATCCCAATCTGTCACCATTACACCGTGACAGCGATCAATACCCTTATCCCATTTCTTTTTCGCAAAACCCAGTTACAGAGGGTTCAGCAAAAGTATTAGGAAGTAGGAAGTCTTATATTCCTGATCCACTTTGGTGTATTACAATAATACACTATGTGTTCTTTACAAATGTATTAATGTTGTTGCATTTAAATTTATTTATTTTCTAGAGCCACGCATGATGCACACTTTAGAAACAGATTTTTCATCAATAGTACTCAAGACATAAAGGCAGGGTGGAATTTCTCCACCATCTTTGCCTTGTTTCACAGATGTCTGAGGGCTTCAATATGAACTGCTGCCGGTGGAATTATCACAGACACATCCAGCATTCTTTCGGTGTCACATGCTCAGAAAAGTGCTGTCTTTCTACCACAGTGAAATTATCACGGCCTTTCCTCCCTTTCTCACATCCAATCTGCTCCAAATCTTCCCTTTCCTTCTTTTGCTCTCTTGCTCTCTACTGCATCAACCTCCGCCCCTCTGCCCCATCTGCCTCATCTGCCTCCCTACTGTTAAACCCCCCCAGCCCCTCGACCCCTCCCTGCAATGGTTCTCTCTCTCTCTCTCTCTCTCTCTCAGGCATGTAACACAAACACACATACAGTACACACAAATGCACATGCTTTCCTGATGCTACAGAACCCATCCCAACCCCCATTGGAAAAAAATATAGTAACGCTCTGTTAGAAAAATGAAAATGTTGAAACAGTAAATGTCACAAATTATCCTTTTTTTTCCTGCTGAGAAACGGACTTGCTCTGCTCTCTTTCTCTTCCCCCCTCTCACCATTAAGATTTACATTCATAAACAAACACAAACACATATTGAACGAACTAAATCCCAACTCGAGATTATTAATGAATGCTGATGTAAATGTCCCCTGTAGAACAGCAGACAGCGAGCTCCTCCAACGTTCCTGGGTTGCTGTCAGGCCACAATTTGCCTGCTTATTCCAGTGCCTCTTGAGACAAGCTCCACGGGATTTGAACACCTCCCACTGCAAATTCACATTTAACGTCTCATAAAGCCAGTTATAAGTGCTGTACACCTGATCGTGTGTGATGGTGCTCCTACTCTCTCATTTCCCCTATTTCCATTTCACAGCTTAGGGCCTGGAAAGAGTGCCTAGACATACAAGCAAACGCACACGCACTCACACATCTTTGATGCATCCTTCACTTGTCCTACATACAGTAATTACATGAACTAAGCACTGCATTCAGATAAAAGCGTTCCTTAAGAATCGAGGATGCTCTGGGGAGATGATGAGTCAAATTGCAAGCATAATAGCAGCGTCCGTTGGCACAGAGCTAGCAGGGTGGAGGAGGGGACTGGACAGGCTGCCTGCCTTGGTGCCATCTCTGAACATCACCTTCCCCATTTTATCAGGGAAACACACTCGCCCTCCACAGAATGGCTGTAATGAAATAGCATCTTGCTCCTCCTCTGTGTCCAAAACAGGCTAGCCTTGCAGTGATAACAAAAAAAGCTGCGTGTGTGTGTTTGAGAGTGGTCAGGCTTACCGTGCTCACAAGCCAGCATCCATTTACAAAGGATACTGCAGACAAGCCCTTGCAGGGAGAGAAAGTGCAATCCACCTTTAGTCCTGCTGCTCCATCTTCATATCTTTCTCTTAAACACAGGGTCACACGCACACACACTCGAATCACTCTCTCTCTTTCTCAGCACCCCGCTTGCTCTGTCTTATTAAACGTCTGTGTTCTATATCCTCTCTTGTTTGCTCCAAGGCAGTTGAGACACTGCAGCGATGGGGGTGGAGGGCGTGTATATATGTGTGCGTGTGTTCGAGTGTGTCAGAGACAGAGAGGCAGAGAGGGAGTGCAGGACAGAAATGGAGGGAGGAGTCAGCAGGGATAGAAAGAGAAGGGGGAAATGGTCAGGATTAAATCATGAGAGTAACAGAGACACAGAGAGAAAAAACACGCTTTGGTAGAGTAGCTCCAGCATCCATTGTATCTTTATTTCATGCTACTATGATAAAATATACATTAAGCCATTAAGGAATCTGAGCCCTATCGGCTAGAGTGGAGGTGAGGCTGTGAGTAGATCTGTTTCTTGAGGTATTATATATGCTGCAGACAGGCCAGCAGCAGGATTGGTTGTGATTTCATTGATGACAGAAAAAACATAGAAGATAGGGAGAGAGGGAGGAGGAGGAGGGGACTGGAGAGGATAGGAGGGGAAGGGAGGAGAGGGAAGAAATGACGACAAAGGAATGGGAGGGGGATTGGACGATGGTGTAATGTGCTGTTTCCGTGCCAACTGTTTCTGTGACAGTGGGACCACTTCCTTTGTTGCTATTGGCTATAACCAAGAATTGATAGAGGCTCAGGCAAATGAGGCAGCATGCCACAGGGTGTGAATATGTGTTTCTTCCACTTCTTGTTAATCTCTGGGAACAACCCCCACCCAAAAAAAAAGACAAAAAAAGACTATGTGTTTGCTTGACTGCAGCCACAGAGAACATACTCATGAGCACACAGAAACATGATGATCACAGCGCTGGAGCATGATGTGAATTCTCGCTTTGTCATTATGGATGCCAACAGTGTGTAAAAAGACTCCTCCCCTCCTCCTGATACACACACACACACACACACACACACACACACACACCTGTCCAGCAGGGAAAAATCCCCAGATCAGGTTGCTCAGGGTGTGTAGTGTAATGTAATTGCCTGGACACCAACCCTGGTGTCATGAACTGTGAGATAATGAATCGGCTATAGGCCAGCGCAAGTGCACATCTGGTGGGGGTGAGCAACTTTGCCTCTCAAGGACCTTTCATCTGCCCCTTTTAATCCAGTCTGGCATGCAGGTGGTGTATTGTCCCCATTCTTTCTCCCTGTCACCCTCTCCCTCAGTGTTTACCCCTGTTACCACATTCAAAGTGAATCATTAATAACCATGAATTGTTGCTCCATCTGCACACACACTCTCTTCCTCTTTAGCGGTTGTCTAATACTGCAGAAATGTATCATCTCTCAGTTTCAGAGTGAACTACCTGAACTTCTCAAAAATGATGATGAGTAACAGAAACCACAAACAATGGTGCAATAACAGAACGCAGGTCAGGTGCATAAAACTGCCACCTGACACAAAACAACCAAAAACCCACACTGGGATGTCCCCATCCATATCAATCACTTTTAAACATCTGACAGTCAACAGGACACCATTTTCAAGCCTTTTTCGATACACAAATGATAACAGTGCTTGTTCAGACAAGATGTTACGTACAAGAGCCTTGGCTCCAAACTAGGTTGTTTCCACTTACGCTCAATAGCTGTTGTTGACATTTCACCTTAAAATGTCAAACCTGACTAAGTCACACAGGAGTTAAATCTCCAGGTGTGATAGATACATTAACATCACACGTACAAAAGATTTCAATCTCTGTCCTGAAAGAGAAGATCTAGTAGGCTGTTAGAAATACAAAGCATTAATCAGTCAAGTTCCTGATTATCATAGGAGCCACTGATATGCCATGCCACAACAACCACGTTGTTAAATGGTCCAAAGGGTTTTGAAAGGGTTTCAAAACATGACCTTTTGGTAGTTAGCTCACAGACTTTTATTTTGGTCTCCCATTACTTGATAAATGATGATAGATCGTCTACTGAAGAACACCTGCAATTATAGACCCCCATTTTGACTGTAGAATGACTAGAGTATTTTTCAGCCTAGCTTCAGAATTAAGGTTATTATTCGGATATTTGCTTTAATGACAAAGGTGCTAAGTCTTTGATTCCTTCAGCTAAAAGATATTTCGAAAATAAAATATTTTGTTGTCATTTGTTGACCTTTTTTGAGAAAACATCATCCATGCTTTTATATTTTTACAGTTAGACTTCTAATATAATTGCAATAAGACACATTTTCTTGTTTGCAAAACCGCAGCAGCAAAGCTGAGGGACCAAAGATCATATCACCCCCCATTAAGCAGCTTTACACTGGTTGGCTGTTAGTTTTCAAATTGATTTGAAGATTTCACCATTAAAGCACAGCAGGGTTCGTCTCCCATCGACAATATCAGACTTAACACTTCATGATCTGCATTGCAGCCTGGTCCTCTGGGAGAACATGTAACAGAAGGTGGCAGAGCTCCCATGGTCCAGCCAGAAAGCTAAAGCTGCAAGATTGTCTTTTTATAATGTTCTTTTAAATGTACTTTTTGTTCAACTAATTAGTGTACTGATTTATTTGTTTTGTAAATCACTTCACTGACTTTATTCTCAGTTCTGTTTCTCAAGATGTTCTCTGCCAGTGCCTTGTGACCCTTCTGTCTCCTTCAACATTTTTCCATCCCTTTCACTCTCCATAACCCTCACTATCCCTTTTTGTCTCTCCCAGATTGTCTCTGTGCCTCTCCCAGCTTCCTGTCTCCCTAATCCTTAATCCTGTGGAAATCGGTCAGGCAGAATGAGCCAGCTTTGATCAGGCTCTCATATCAGGCGTGCTAACAGTGTCAGCACACCCGGATCCCACAGAACCCTGGAGCCCAGGGGGAGAGCTTCAAACAGGCGTTTACCCCCTGACTCTGCTTGAGAGGAAAGGGAACGAGAGGCTGCAGAGTTCCTGTCTCAACTGCCAGCCACAGGCTCTGACATCAGTCTTTCTTTTTTGATTTGCATCGTGATTTAACACAATTTATCTGCGGTGGCACCTTTGCTTTTGGCTTTTTCTGCATGAACTAAACTTACAGTGGGAAAAGGGATCAGCAGCCAGCAGGGTAACGCCATTTGCGGCTCAGAGCAGTGTACAAAGATTTGAAAACCACTTCTGCTTTTGTCAGAGGTGTCCTTGACAGCTCGTGTGGAATCTGTGTCATAGGTGTTTTGGTATTGTGATCCAAGGCCAGGGATAATACCTACCTAAGTGGGAGGCATGTCACAAAACACCTGACTATCTTGTGGCACAAATGCATCATGCAGGGAAATTAGCCTTCCTTAAAGGTTAGCTTCGCGCAGAGCATCTAACAGAGTCAGAGAAAAATACACACACTGAATAGTGCCAAAGCAACCTCTGCTTTGTGCCCTCATTTAAATCCAAACATCCTACCCTGAAGATATGTTTGGAATAGACATGCATTCACTGACTTGGAATGAATGCCTTGAAGTGCATAAGTAAATAACACTGCAAATATTGGCATAAACAATGCATTTATCACTGCATTCTTTTAGTAATTCTATGCGAACAGCCTATACATAGATAGTGCCAATATTTTAAGTGGAAAGGTTATCCTATATTTTTAGATTACGGTCATGTTAAAGAGTAATTCACAGAGCCTACTTGCAGAAGCAAGAGAAAGGGTATATAAAGGTTTTTCCTTCTCACCACCACATGACCTGGAGGCTGGGCCTCTCTACAGATCTACAACAATACTGACAGTGTACTCAGTCTCCCCATTTAATCACTTCAGAAGTGTAATCATGTTTGTTAAATCAGCTAGAGAAATGAAGCATTTAGCAGGGCCAGTGCACGTACAGGATGTGCAACATCTGATATGAGCTGAAGATGGAAGAGGACAAACTCTTTTTGTGATAATATCAATGTGTTCATAATCCTGGTTTATAAAATGTTGGAGTGAGGTGTCAGTTTTGCCTTTGGAATGTTAAGAGGTTAAGACCTTTATCATTGTCCATTGTACAACCAAATAATAGTACATAAAACGTTTAAGATGAAACTGGAATATGGCAGGAAGAAGTGGAAATACCTGAATAAACTGTTGAAGAATATAAATCCTGTACAACTCCTTACACTTGAATGACTGGCTCTGGTCTTCCCCTCTTTGAAGCTCATCCACCTTTCTCAAAGTCTGACAAAGGCTGACATCTGTTGACCAAGCCATTGTACTACACTGTTAACATTAGAATCAAATGGTATTAGATTAGAATTCATTCTATTCTTTTATACATGTCAGTGTCTATGATTAGAATGTATTTTTTTTGTTTTAAGCACTAAATGATTTTAAAAAAAGATTTATATAAATTATAAAGTAAATGATTATGACTTTTTAGCACAAATCCTTCAATTCAATCTCATATTAAATTATGTGGATGCACGCGCCTCACAAACTGAATAGAATTTGAACGTGAAAGACTTGGACTTATTGGTATTTTCTTTATGCAACACTGGACACAGTAATTTTTACAAATGTAGAATACGAATTGAAGTTACACTTATTTGTACTTAATGATGGCCACGCCTTCGTGCTAGCTTTAGTGCACACAACAGTAGGCTGACTAATACACTCTTACCTACATTCTTACAACTTTTATTTGCACTTACATGATAAGCAAACTTATCTGTAGCTGTTATGCAATTGACATCAATATGAGATCTGTGCACACGAAATTTAGTTAAAATTAATGTCATCCACTCATAAGAAACCTTACCTATAATCTAAACATCCTGTTCAAATCAAGATTTGATTAACAGTATTTACACAAGCCCTTATTTATCTTTGTGTGCTAATCCCAGCCAAAACTGAGGGAGCCAGAATAGTGAATGTGCAAACCTTCAGTCAGTATTCGTTTGAGACTATCAACAGATGGTTAAACTACCAGCGATTTCAAACTCGTGGAATGCTCCCCGCTGGCATCTTTGATATTTCTCTCTTGTAAAGTTGTGATGTCTAAGAATGTAAATACAGACTAATAACATAGACCAGTCTTCTTCTCAGATGCTCTACACAATAACGTGGTTATCATGTGCACTAAATTACATAATTTAGGGGTTCTTTGATGTGTTACGTTATTAACTTGACCA